CCTTTGTAGACTTCAGCAAAACACTGTAGCATTTTACAGCAGAGAGGGAGGGCCAGGAACTACCAACTGCATAATAGTTTCAGTTGCGGCAGCGTATACTCATGGCATGTTTTATATCGCCGCACGAATTCAGACAAACGGTTCGATCGGTGGCAACGTGGTGTCACCTCCCTCAGCTTTAATCAAACCCCTATGAATACACTCAACAGTACACAGTGCAAAAGGTTAATTACCCATGCTAATTAAGGTCTTGTAGACTTGTAGTTGTAGTGCATGCTGCTCTGACATACAGTAAAAAAGATGGTAAGAGTAAAATGGAAGCCACAAATCATGACAAGATCCCGACAAAAAAACACAAATAAATCAAGACCATATAAGCAACGGCTGAACACCAGAAAAACTGAATGAATGATCGGATATAGCTTTTCAACATATCAACTCAGAACTTGTCAACGGGATTGATTCAGTATGGAAAGGCGCTCTGCAACATCTACCATTGTCGGTCTTCGGCGCACATCACGGTCAAGGCATTCCACAACAATTTCTGCCAGATTGTGAAGCAGCTCCAAATCTTCTGTGGTCACAATTTCCTTATCAAACAACTCAGCTGCTTTCCAACCCTGCTTGTGATTCTCAAAGAAATCGTTTATTAAATTCAAAATTGAGCCCCCCCTCCTAGTTAGAAGCTCCAACATGACAACCCCAAAATTGTAGACATCATTTTGTTCAGTCAGCACACCTGTATGTAGGTATACCGGATCCATATAGGACATGTCACCAGTGACCATCCTGGTGAGGTTGCAGTCTAGCGCAACGAAGCTTGATATACCAAAGTTTGAGATCTTCGGCACAAACTGGTCATCCAAGAGTATATTTGCTGACTTAACATCACCATGTAAGAATTGTTTGTCAAGTGCTGAATGCATATAAGCTATAGCACCTGCTGATTGTGCAGCAATACTTAAACGCACAGCCAAGTTGAGAGGCACCCTCTTGTTGCTGTGAAGAATTTCATGGAGGCTATCTTTGGAGAAGAACTCATAGACTAGCATTGGGTTGTCAACTTCCACGCAACAACCTATGAGCCTAACAATGTTCTTGTGAATGAGTCGAGAGTGGGTGATGGCTTCATTTACAAACCGATCACTCTCTCGCATAGTACCACTAATATGCTTCTTTACTACAACTGGTACATTATCAAGAATGCCCAGGTAAACTTCTGCAAAGGGACCTCTTCCAAGCAGATTCTTATCCTTTAAAGTTGGATTGAGCTCCTCCCTTTTGAAAATTTTAACACATTTTATCTTCTCCAAATTACGCCCACCGTATCTCACGTAATTTTTGTGTGCTTTTTTGTTGAAGATGTCCAAATTGTTCAACTTGTAGAGCAAACCAGAGTTTGAGCTAGAAATGCTTGCACCTTGTGGGATGACATTTTGCTTTGAATCCTGCGATCCCCATAGTGACCGTTGGTTACCGGAGCTTCTTCTCTAGGTGTTGCAACGTATTGCACAAGTCCTGTTTCAGCATGTTCCTTCATGTCCTTTCCAAGGTAATCGGATTTAAGTTTTGCAATTTTATCAAGTCTGTTGATTATATGGTGTGCAACTGGTCTCTTCTTTGGGTTTGGATCCATGCACTCTATCCCTATTTGAATGCATACCCTTACTTCTTGCAACTGTGTCTCCCATTGATCTGATCCCTCCAACCGATTCATCCAAGCATTAACTACCTACAAAATTGCAATTGAAAGTAAAGATCCAGATAGTAAACTATGACAAGTGATCTACAGCTACTAGAGCGAGAGCGAGCGCGCGCGCACGAGAGAGAGAGAGAGAGAGAGAGAGAGAGAGAGAGAGAGAGAGAGAGAGAGAGAGAGAGAGCATACAGATCGGTTGCTTCATACGCTGCTGCTGGTGGTGAGAGGAATTGAAGATAAACTATATGACAAGTCATCTACAGCTATGAGAGAGAGAGAGGGATTGAAGATAAGCTATGGTGACAAGTGATCTACAGCTATTAGAGAGAGAGAGAGAGATGCTTGAAATTCAAAAATGGGGGAAAATATTATAAATTGAGCTATATTGTCAGTTCAATGCTATATTTGTTGAAGCGAAAGTGCATTTCTCACGAGTATGGTTTTGTGTAGGTTGAGCTACACGTTACCCCTTATCTTAGCCATCCATTTTGGCATAAAGATCCGTGCAGGCACATTTGTCATTTTTGTTTCTCTCAAACGAAACAACGTATAAACTTGAAACTTTACAGGACAACAACACATTCTAATTACTACGTGGGAAAAAACTTTCAGATTTTTTCATGCATTTAAAATGCTAAAATTTATTTTTTTTAATCAAAAAAATCCTCATTTTGTATATTTATGTTGGTCCAAAATATCTGAAAGTTTTTTCACACATTGAAGTTGTAAAGTGTGTTTGATCTGCAAAGTTTGAAGTCCGTATGTTTTTTCATTTGAGAGAAACAAAAAAGAAAAATCTGCTTGTTGCAAGTTAGTTGTAGAGTACGGATCTCAAAGCAGTGTTGAAGGGCTGAAGATAAGAGGTTCCATGTAGGACGAGCTACAAAGGAACTTTGTGATTTCTCACTTGTGTGTGTGTCCACTTTAGATTGACCTAATCCTAATGGGTAAGCAGGTTGGTGTATGAAACATAGAGAAGACCATTTTTAAATCCTCAACTGACCACTATGGAGAGTTACGATGAAGGGTTCCCCCCGCTTTACATTATAAAGCAAACAACGGACACATCCAGCTCACTGGGGCCGCAACACAGATAAACCCAAAAGAGAAACAACAAGAAGAAGAAAGAGAAATAAACACCGACACCGACACATCAATGAAGAGAGGAAGATCGGCAACCGCTGCACCCTCCGAAGAAGTACCACCACGCTCCCAGCATCTTGAAGCGCCGCGCCCCAAGCAACACACCTTCAAGAAGGAATGCGACGATGCCGTCGCTGTTGCCCGAACAAGTTCTAGGGTTTCCCCCAGTATGCGAGGGATAGTGGGGAAGGGGTATACCCGATGCCCCTTGGGAAGGTTTGACGGCGCCTGCAGGCCTCATCGCATCGGTGCCGGACTGGCTGACAGGGGTTTCTCCCGATCCACAACCACCACCACCACCCCAGGCATTTCGAAATGCACCACCCACCAGCTTGTGCCACCACAATTACCGGACAACCCTCACCGCCTCACTGGAGCTATTAACAGGACACCTGGAGAGGGAGAGGAGACACCGGCCACGGGAGCGAACACAAGTCGACTGTTGGGAGGGGACAGCCTCCACCGCCGCAGCGAAGCCTACCGGACGCGGCGATGAGGACTTGCCGGGCCTTGATGGCCCGGCCGGGCCAACTGGACCCGGACAGTCCTGTCACCACGCTGCAGCACGCCGACCAACGAAGTCCTCACCGCCCGAGACCACCGCCACCACGCCACCACCAGAGGATGTCGCCGCCGAACGCCGAGCCACCGGCCCGCCCCAACCTAGATGGGGCCCAAAAGGGCCCAGATCTGGGCTGGGCGGGCGCCACCCCGCCGCCCCACGGCCAACGGCCACCGCCGCGTCGAGAGCCACCAGGCCCGCAGCACCACCACCGACGGGCCGCAGTGAAGCCGGCCGAGGAGCACCACCGCCAGCAACCACTGTCCGAGCAGGGTGGTGCCGCGCGCGAGGAAAGGCAGGCCCGCCGCCGCCAGTACCACGCGGTCGAGGCCCGGCGGCACTCGCTGGTGGTGGCGGGAGGAGGCCGGGGCGAGGGCGGAGAACTGGAGAGAAGCGGGGAAGAGGCCCCCGGCCGCCTCGCTCGGGGAGGCGACACGGGGGTACGGGGAAGGGAGGAGAGGGGGGAGGGGGAGGGGAGCGGGGGAGGGCTAGCTGCGACGGCGGCGGAGCCGGCGGCTGCGGCGCGGGAACCCTAGGAGTGGGACTGGAGCGGGGTCTTGCACAAGATGGTCAATCAAATGCCTTTCCACTATGGAGAGTTTAGGACTCAACCCTGAATTTGAAAACCGGTCACTGCACATTCTAAACTTTCAAGACCGTCCACGGTTCAACCCTAGGCTCAACTGAAGCCGGTTTTTGCTGACATGGCTGGTTTTGACAGATTTGACTGCCGGTGTGGTGACTCAGCATGGTATTGACGGGTAAAAAGAAGAAGAAGAAAAAAGAAAAAACAGACGCAGCGCTCCTGTTTAACTTTGACCACATCCTCATTGAGACAAAGCATCGAACAGATGCCACTCACACAGGCCATGCTGCTGCTCTCGCTCGCCATGTTAGCGCTCGTCCACCACGTCTCGGCGGAGCTGCACCCGCAGCACGGCTCCTCCGTGTACATCAAAGCATTCCCGTCTTACCAAAGCTAGAGCCACATGGCCAACCACCGCAAGCCATGGCACGGCGGTCCCACATGCAATAGTGGTGGGCGCCCAGCAGCAGTGTCCTTGTTGGGTTCCAGCAAGGCTGTGGGTGGAAGAGAAACGGGGCGACGTCGAAAGCCACAGCAGTGTCCTTGTTGGGTTCCATCTCTCCCGCCTCTCCCCCCGCCACCGCCTCTTCGCCTACGCACCTCCTGGCGACCGTACGTCGGCCCCGCCGCTACCTCATTTTCTCCCTTGGTTGTCACCGACCTTCTGCCCGACGCCGTGCTCGTTCATCGCTCGTCGTCATCGCCGGAATAAAGGTGAAACGCCATTGCCGTTGCCATAGCCAATTCATCGGATTGCTCGAATCTTCTTCCTCTTTGGCTGCCGCCGCATCTGACCTTACTTGCACACCATTGCAGGTCACTCCCATGCGTCGTCGCTCGCCAGTTTGGCCAAAACGACGATGGCTAGTCGGTGCACCACCACCGCCCCGCAAGTGTTCGGCAGTTTGCCTAGGTGAGTTTTTTCATTTGTTTCCTTTTGAACCGAGCCGTCTGGATTGAAGATGAAGAGGTTGGGGGAAATGGTCTTCGAAGACTCGTCGTCATCCGAAGAGGAAGAAGACGATAAAGACTTTGAAACCGTTTTAGGTATGATTTTCAGTGATGATTTTCGTCGGCCTGGGAGAGGATCGCAGTTTGGCCACATATACATCAACCATGATAGAGCGGAGGGCCATGCCAAAATCACGAGAGACTACTTTGCTCCAAATCCAACCTATCCGGGGAAGTACTTTCGCCTGCATGAAGACACAATCTTGGAGGCCGTTCGAAGGTTCATTAAAGTTAAGCAGTGATCGATGTTTTTGCATCGGGATACTCATACATGAGAGCACCCAACGAGGAAGACACCTAGAGGCTGATGACAGGGAGTGAAGCAAGAGGATGGCCAGGGATGCTTGGATCACTTGACTGTATGCACTGGACATGGAAGAATTGTCCTGCTTCTACTAGGGAAACGCTTAGTAGTGAAGCGGGTTAAACAACTAGTAGTAGCGAAGGGGCCCACGCTACTACCACCGCGCTACAACTAACAGGGTAGTAGTAGCGTAGGTGCCACCCTGCGCTACTACTACTTCTGTTAGTAGTAGTGTTGGGTCCACCTGTGCTACTACTAGTTATCTGTAGCACGGGTGTGCTCCCCGCTACTGCTACCTCTTGTAGAAGTGTGTGCCGTGCGCTACTACTACCTTAAAAAGTGCGCCACTAGTATTAATTTTAACTCTTTTTTATGTATTTACACAGTATTTATACAACAATTATATAGATTTTTATACACTCCAACACACACACACAGAGAGACACATCATGGAAACTATATGATACAACAATTATGCAGGGTGGAAAGGTCGGTACAAAGGGGCTGCAACAATCAAACGATCACTCTTGAGGCAGTTGCAATGAAAGATCTATGGATATGACATTCATTCTTTGGTCTGCCTGGCTCTCATAATGACTTGAATGTGTTGTCGAGATCATCACTGTTTTTTAGGCTAATTGCAACATATGCTCGTGCTTGCAACTAGTCGGTCAACGGGCATAACTACTCGATGGGTTACTACCTTGTGGGTGGCATCTATCTACCATGGGCCACATTAGTCAAAACAATTTCGCGTCCAGAAGTTAACAAAAACATTAACTTCGCCGAATGTCAAGAAGCGGCTAGAAAAGATGTGGACAGAGCATTCGATGTGCTTCAGAAGCGCTCTGTAATTGTTTGTGGTCCTGCTGAGTACTGGAGCTCCAAGGTTTTATGGAAGATCATGACTTGTTGCATCATATTTCATAACATGATCATTGAAGATGAGAGAGATATGTCTGAGAACTTTTGTTACATCACCAACGGGACTCCGGTCGATCCAAAGTATGATGCAAGCATTCCTTGAAGGGCATCGCAAGATTGAGAACCCACAAGTTCATACTCAGCTCCAAGAAGATCTTATTGAGCATCACTAGCAACTTCATAGCACTTCTTAGTTGTGTTATTTGCTACATTTGAACCATCCAGTGTGTTTAAGTTTAAATAACTCGGTTTGTAAACTTTATTCGTGATTTGCTTGAATCTTCATATTTATGTTTATTTGCTAGCTAGATGTGTGCTAATTCATAGTTGCTATGTAAACAAGAATTGCATAAGTTCAAGAAAACAAAATTTTACTCCGTTATATTTAGGGGACCGGCTAGGTCCGTCCAGAAGTTAGTGGAGTAAATATACTTCACTAAGCTTTGCTCAGTTGTATCCTCCTCTATTTTATAGGGGGTCAGTTAGAGTTGGTCTAACCAGTTCTGGAGTTCAGGGTTGAACCGAGTCCTAAACATAGCTGTATGTTGAGGGTTGAAAAGTGACTTCTCTCGATGAAACACAACATGATATCCATGTAAAGAGATCTCGAGTTCAAAACTTGGCTACCACACTTTTCTTTTTCAACCGCACCGCAGCCTACTTTATGTCCACACTAGGCCTAAGTGAGCCACAAGTGCAGAAGAGTGGTAGCATATACAAACCCATTTTCTACATTTCCTCATAAGTTGATCTTTTAGGTAGAGTAGTGAGGATAAAAGTGTAAGCGGGGTGCTACAAATGTGATTTCGGTGATGCATCTTAGGCCAAGAAGCTTATATACAAGTTTAATTTGTGTTAATTAAGCATGCAATGAAGGTGGGGTGCCACATAAATAGATGATGTTTTAGACTACTATGCTTCTCCTAGACATGATTTTTACAATTATTCTTTTCTTTTGGTTGGGGGAGGGGGAGGGGGAGGGGGGATTTATTTCTCAATTTCCGTAAGTTAAACTACAGTATACGATATGTAGTTATTTGAAAAGCTATCCTTTAACATGGAACAAATGGTTAAATTATTCTTACATCATCATCTTCTGCATACCCCTTCTCTCCCGTCAGTATCTCCACGATGATAACACCGAGGCTATATATGTCTGACGCAAACGTGAATTCCCCTATGAATGATTCTGGTGCAAAATATCCCCTATGAGAAGAATTTTAAATCATGGTCAATGAATATTCACGCAAATATAAATTGGTGCCAAACAAAACAAGCTTCCAAGTGACTGGCTTACATCGATCCGAATATGTGAGAAGTATAAGCCCTAGTTTGCTCATTATCAAGGCACCTCGAGAGGCCAAAATCAGCAATTTTGGGTACCATGTGATCATCTACCAATATATTACCAGGCTTCAGATTTGAGTGGAGAATGCGTTTCTCATGAAGATGAAGCAAGCCCTCACATATTCCCTTGATAATCATATAGCGTCGCCTCCATTCAAGTCCGCAAGATGCATCTGCAGAGGGAAGGGGTTTCATATTTGTGTCCCTTAGATACACATAATGTTAAAATAGAGAACAAAAGTCAGTCAACCCTTTGTTTTAAAAATAGGTGAACCAAATGTATAACAATCTGCAACTTAGCCTGCTATAGCAGGCCACCTCTTCACAAATTGGGAGGAAAAAAATCAACTTTCCCAAATCAACTCCCCCCCCCCCACCCACACACACACCCTTTTTACGGATTTTCACCCTTTGCTAGATTTACCTACTAGTATTTTGACCAGGAAATGTTCAAGCAAGCCCAACGGGGCTGCTTTTTGTTAGCATAGTTGGTTGCCCCATATGTTGTGGGCCAATCTTATTTAGGGAGCAAATACTTCACATGGATCAAAATCATGTTGAACCAAAATACAACATTAAGATCTTTAACAGGCCATTCCCTCCTCTGAGTAACAGTCACACCATGTTTAACAGCTGTTGGATCAAAATGAATGGACAGTTAAAAATAATTTTGGAGCATCTTAAAATTCTCATTTTAAATAGTTGTATTATTTGCATGGAATATATGCTTGGACTATGTAATAACATTAATAAAGAATATAAATATGGCAGCAAACATTACAACCATACCTGTAATATACTTATCAAGACTTCCGTTCGGTACATACTCAAAACATAGTAACCAGTTCCGTACATCTGCCATGACAAACTTCCCCTCATTGTCCGCAGGCCTCCCACACGTTTCAGAACAATATCCCAGGAAACGCACAATATTTTTGTGCTTGACCTTCATGAGACACTTAACCTCTTCTTGGAATTTACGCTCAGGCAAATCAAACGTTCTGGACAACTTCTTCACAGCGACCAGCCCTTTCCCCACTCTTCCCTGCAGTCAGAACGTGTATTTGCAACATTACCGTGTGAGCATGCACATGTAGTGGTGTTACTGTGATGTTCATGTGCCGTTAGTATTGATAAATCTTACTAGCTTGAGGTACCCGTACCTTATAAACCACTGCAAACCCACCACCCCCAGTTTCCTGATGATCGGAGAAACAGTTTGTGATATCTTCTAAAAGTGATAACGATACATATGTTGGCTCTGCATTTTCATCAAGGAGCACGTGCTCCAGCAGGTCGACTTTGTGTCTGAAATTGATTTTCCTGTCCATTTGCAATTGGGAGCAAGCTGCAGTACCTTCAAAACAAGAGCAATATATACCATTATATATGAGTTCACAGTATACCTGATTAGACAAGTAAGCATGAAATACAGATTGAAAGAATGAAGATCTGACATATATATGCATCTCAACTCCCTATATAGCTAGGTATTCAATTAACAACAGTAGCAGATTCTTATATAGTTAGCCTGATTTGATCTGGACCATCCTGCAAGCAAAAGGCTGAATAGTTGTCTTGGGCTAATTATATAGCATGGTTTGCTCAATAAAATATTAGGAACCTCAAAACTGAAGGGTGAATCGTAGGTAGACCAAAGCTAAGATCCATAAAATCAAAACATTATATATGCAGCTTGGTGTTGATAGAGGCCATCCATCTCAGGGACTAAGAGAGATAGAGAGAAGAAGCCACATGTACGCACACCAATGGCAGCAAGTATAATGAACTACCTAGTCCTGCAGAACACTACTAGAAAAACCCCTACTAATGGCGCATCTAGTATGGCCATTAATGGCGCATCGGTGGTGCGCCATTAACAGCACGCCATTAGTAATTTTTACTAATGGCGCACCACCTGGTGCGCCATTAGTATCTGGTATACTAATGGCGCCATTAGTATAGGCCAGGGTGCGCCATTAGTATGCCTCCCAAGGGCCATGTATATCCAGGTGCTTTGGCATACTAATGGCGCACCACCACTGAATGCGCCATTAGTAACCATGGCATATTAATGGCGCACTTACCACTGATGCGCCATTAGTATGCTTTGTTATACTAATGGCGCACTGTCATGTGATGCGCCATTAGTATGAATATTAGGTTTTTTTTTTATTTTTTTATTTTCTGTTTTTTGCACAGGTTACAAAATGTATAATTTGACAAAATATAGACAGCACACATCAACAACAGATTCATCAAATACAATAGAAGATTAGTCTTTGAATACAATTCATCATATTAGTCTCCGAATACAATTCATCATATTAGTCTCGGAATTGAAAAGACCGAACAAAGATAGAACATTATATTACAAGTCTCGAGACCGCGAGTAGCGAGTTTGTCTTCACATTACAAGTCGATATCGATCATCTAAACTACCATCACATAGAAGAGAGCTGCGGTCATCACGATGAGCATCATCACGATGAAACTCGTCTTCATCCGGTTCCTCCAACGCTCCCTCCCCTCTCCCGCTCGATAGCGGGCGTATCTAGATTCGGCCTCGGCCCTAGTGGTGTACCCTTTGTAACTGTTACCGCTGAATCAGTGAACCTGTCTCCGACACTCCTCCCAGTCATCGTAGACTCCGGGAACCTTACCTTTGTACACGACATACGTCGGCATCGCTATGCACTAGCCAAACGAAACGTTAGTACCAATTCACAGACAATACATAAGCAATATATAATTATGCAACAGAACGATCGGAAGAGAAAAGCAAGACATTAATAATATCGATTACATCTAAGTTGAACGACTCTCGAAACCAAAGAGACATACTACAAGTTCATTAAAGTTTAATTACAACATGAGCCAATCGATGTTTCAGAACTAGACACAGCATCACTGCTTTCGATTCGACTCAAGGGACCGGAGCATGGATGAAGCCGCCCTCTATCGTGGGAGTCATGAAATAACGGTCGTTGTCAGCCTGCATTTGTAGCATTGTGTCGATGTCACTGTTGGACGGTTGATTTCTGAGGTAGAACTGCCCCGAGGTACGAAGGACATCTTGATGGATGATTTCCGCAAACTCCGACTGGATGCGAAAAAATTCTTGTCGGAGGTCCGCGTCCTGGATTGCCGACACGCTCGCGGCCCAATCTTTGAGTTTACTCGGTAGCAGAAGTTGATGATGGTCCCGTACGATCGCCCGCATATGATGGATGGCGTAGTAGGCACCCTTCTGACCGCCAGGCGGCTGCTTGACGCAGCAGAACGTCGTATTGTGGGAGAACACGTGCTTGCCGTACTTACGAATAGGCCTGGTGAAGGTGCCTCCAGATTTGGCGTAGCCGGAGAGAACATCATCAAGAACCTTCTTGACATTTGTGTAGTCTACGTTCGACTGACGGTCCGGGTCGAAATACGTGGCCATGGAATATTTGGGGCTTAGGAGGATGAGCGTGCAACGTGTGTCACTGCAGAAAACACAGAATGTTAAAAGAAAAACGATGGAAATGTAAGAATTCATATGTTACGGGCCGGTTGAGGGGAGGACTTACTCGGGAAAGTAAGGCACGAGGAAGTTATCCTTATCTTGGTTTGCCAGAATGATGCCTTCGAGGTAAGAACTCGCGACTTGCCGGTCCCCAGCGCTGCCCAAGATCTTGGCACGCATGTAGAAGGGGTCGACTATCACGATGTCCGGGGTCTTGTCGCGAATGATCCGCATCTCCATACTCAGCGAAAATAGCCGAACGAAGGTGTAGTGCAGCGGATGAAGGTTCAACATAGCGTGGATGTCATCAAAACGCAGGACGATCGTACGCCCGATGGAGTTATCCACAAAGCCCTTGCCCTCTGGCACCTTGGCCGCGAAAACTGGGTATGCCACATCCTTCTCCCTGAGACGCCGCTTCTCCAAAGAAAGAACACTGTCATGCAGACTCCGCATAGCACCGGTTGCAGCATTGAGCATATTTGTCGGTAGCATCGCCCTACCCGCCACATGAACCCTCCTCGAGATATCCTGCGGTGAAGGTGGCCCGTCCTGAGCACGGATCGTACTCGGTGCCGGCTGGCTTGCACCCTTCTTAGTCTTTCTTTTGTGTGCCTTCTTCTTCTCCTGTAATGGGACCGAGTTCTGCTCACAGACCGCCTTCTTGAGTGTGTTGGGGCTGATAATATTTCGCACCTCGCCTATCTGAGGCTCGGTGAACTCGGTAGCTGGAGGCGTCTCCTGGGAGCTAAACGTCAGACGGCGCCTGTTGCAACTTGGCTTCTCCGCGGTACCAGCTAGATCGCACACGTCTTTTGTTGGGTTTGGTTCTTGAGAAGGAGGCCCCATGAAGTCGCCATCGTACCCATGATCGGCAAAGTTCTGATCGACGTTGCCAAATGTATCATCGTCGTCGTCGTCGTTGTTCTGATCCTGTGCCATATGCATGTTTGGATCCAGTGGCATAGGGATGTCCGGCACCGTTACGGCGGTCTTGCCATGGGGCCGACTTGGCGCCGGCACGACTGGCGGTTTTGTCTTTGGGGTGGTGTCCCCCGCCCCCAAACAAATCTGGCTCTTCGGCCAAAGCAGGGGCCAGCTCAGGCAGGCGCTGAGGGTCATCACATCTTCATCGTCGGCCCCGACGGGTCGAATCGGAGGTAACAAGTCGTCGCAGCCTGGCAGCACCCGAACCAGTTGAACCCTAAACAAGTTGGGTGGCATCTGGGTACCGTGGAACAAGGGGTTGCCCGGTTGAACGATTTTGCCCTTGGCGACATCGACCAACTCGTTGTTCACGAAGTGGAGGAGAGTGCACGGAACGTCGGCGGCGCCCTGCGAAAACATGTAGGGCGTCAGGGATGCCCAGTCAAAGGCAAGGAGATGAAGTCCTCGGCCGAGAGAGGCTTAATTAGTTACCGTGATGATGGCGTCGAGCTCTGCTAATGTCGACGCACCGCCAACGGCGGGCGTGCAGTTGACGGAGGTGCCGCTTGCTGCAGAGGTGCCGGCCGGCGTACACCCGGGTGCATTAAGCTCCCGTGCCGGCGTCGGAGACACCAATGTCGCCTCCGCTGGAGGCACCAATGGCCCCGCCATCGCATTATGCGAGTTGCTGGCCGTGAAGCTAGGAATCGGGGGCGGCCCCTGTTGGCCGCCCGCAATCCACGCACTCAACCCCGAGATCAAGGTAGGCACAAGGGCGGTGATCGTCGCTCCAAGTCGTTGTTCCACTTGCTCTTGGACAATCTCCGGAATCCGCGCCACCTGTGCCTTGAGTTCTTGAACCTCTCGCGCCTGGCTTTCCGAGCTGGTCTTTTTCTCCTTCCGCACACCAACGGTATAGTATGACCCCCATTTTGTCGACAAGCCTTTGTCGGCCACACGACCAGCTAACGTCGGCTTACTGAGCTTATCCTTGTTCTTCATTACATTCAACCCCCTATTTAGAGTGGTGTCCCAAGGGTTGCTCTTAGTCGACCCCGCGCTACTGCTTTCAGTCGCCTGCGGAAGGAATGTGAACCATTTAGAAATTTGGCTTCATTAATTAGAATGCAATCATATGGAGCTAATTACGCGGGGGTGTATTCCTTACCAGAACAAGCTCAAGCTGCCTGGTCTTCGGATCCGTGGTAAGCTCCTTCGTTTTCGGGTCCTTCTTGTACCGGGCCCTGACAAAGTTCCTGGTCTGCTTGTCACCGTATTTATCGAAGAGGGGCGGTAGGCCTTGCTCGGCACGGTCCGCCTCCTCCTTGTCCCATATAGGCTCCGCCACTCTGTAACCGCCGGGACCGAGTGTGTGTTCCCCTATGTTCAGCTCCCGCATTTGTTTCCCCCACTCACTTGATTGGGAGCTTGCGGTGCTCGAGCAATTGATCTTGAAGTCGTTGTAGTCATCTTCGGTGATCGAAGGATTTTTCTCCTTGATCTTCTGATAACTCTCACCTTTCTTGATCATTCTCTTCACATTGCTTTTCCAAGTAGACAGGGCCTTGCTCATCTTCGTGAGGGCAGCATTGTTCACTTTATTCCCTTTGAGGCTTGTGTTTTCAAATTCAGCGGGGAACTTGTATCGTTCGTGCAGCTTCGTGAAGAGGAGGTTGCGCAAATTCCCTCGGTCAGGATGCCTCAGGTTCTCGGTGTTGATCGAGACGGTGCTCCGGACAATGCACCCGAGCTGAAGCGAGTACCCCTTGACTATTCGTTCGGGCGCCGTTGGATTCCCGTTGGAGTCCACTTCAGTAACTTCCTCCTTGAGGGTGTGGAGCACGATCAGGCGCCGGTCCTTCCATTGCCTCTTCGGTTGGCTGCCATCTGTGCGTGCGC